CCCATCATCGTCCAGGCCTCTCAGGTCGGTGTCTTAATATTATTCTATTATTATTTCTACCTGATGTGACGGAGCATTTTAATACCAACGCCTCCCTATTAAACCCATTTTTCAAATGGAAACGTGTTCGACCCAGATAACATTGCGATTTAGACAAACTCTGAATTTCTGCATTAACGTAATTACTTTACTTACGTGTGATTACAGGCAGAGAAAAACCGAGCTGCAGCCGCTGCCAACAACCTGCAAAAGGGCAGCTCCGGTCCGATGAGGCTGTACGTGGGCTCGCTGCACTTCAACATTACCGAAGAAATGCTTCGAGGGATCTTTGAGCCGTTTGGAAAGGTCAGGAACAAGTTTCACTTCTGAATAAATTATGATTTTTGACTTGTAGGTGCATTGGTGACGATCCTCCTGTGTTGTGTTTGCACAGATTGAGGGAATCCAGCTGATGATGGACAGCGAGACCGGTCGATCCAAAGGATACGGCTTCATATCGGTAACCAAAAGCGTCTTGATCATCGTCGGTGCTTGACTGTTCGCAGCCTGTTGGACTCTGACCTCTTTGCCTCTTACAGTTTGCAGATGCAGAATGCGCTAAGAAGGCCTTGGAGCAGCTCAATGGCTTCGAGCTGGCCGGCCGCCCGATGAAGGTGGGTCACGTCACAGAGCGCTCGGACTCATCGACGGCCAGCTCGTTCCTGGACAACGACGAGCTGGAGAGGACCGGCATCGACCTCGGCACCACGGGGCGGCTGCAGCTCATGGCTCGACTAGCAGAAGGTTTGTTAATCACCTGCAGCGTCTTTGCATCAACCGCACAAACAGTCCCCTTATAGCACACGAGAGGAAGTCATTCGTTTGCCAAATTTATATTAAAAACTGTACCAACTGTGTAGATAAATATGCCTTACGGTACCGTCCTCAGTTTAGAACAATATAGTCGTATAAGAAGATTGATACACTGGCTATTGCCTCAGTCTATACTTTCTGTTTTAATGCCTTTACGTTTTTAACTTCATTCAAGATGTCGACATTTCGAGACATTTTGTCTCTGAATTCACTGCAGAACATCGCCGCTCCATTGTGTCTTTACAATAAAGCTTTACTGTCCACCAGGGTGGCAGTTTGTCTTTGACTCACCAAACATAAAAAGCCAGTTGGTAAAAGATAAATACAAATTCATCGACATGGTCATGTTGGACATTAAAGCGGTTCATGTCAGTGTCTGTGGCTTAGATCTACTGTCTCTCTCTCGGGAGGATCTGCTGCTTCTCTTAGTCGTGTATCATCACAGTAAACTTTAAACATTTGGTCGGACAAACGAGACGTGTTGCGGCTTTTATTCGGCCTCTGAGGATTCACGAGTGGCATTGTCTCACTATTCTGACGTGTCATGTTGCACGGCTGTAGGTGTCACAATGTTGCTTATCGGACGCCCCGCCCTGATTTTCTCTGCATGATAAACATGTGAGTAGTTATTGGATGTGAACATTTTCTCCATTTGTGACTGCTGGGTCTCAAAGGATGTTGATCTTCTCATCCGTTTCCTAAATGTCACAATCTGTCCGTGTCATGAAGCGATCATTAGATTTAGTTTCTTAAATTAAACACGTTTTCATTTCTCTCTCTCGTCTCTCAGGAACTGGTCTGAAGATCCCTCCTGCTGCTCAGCAGGCTCTACAGATGACCGGCTCCATTCCCTTCGGAAACCTCTCTCTTCCACAATGTGAGCCTCTAGATGACGTGTGTGTGTGTGTGTGTGTGTGTGTGTGTGTGTGTGT